AACGACCAACAGACTGCCTCATTAAGTGCCAAGATAGAGTGACAAATTAAGACTGGCTTAATACATAGTTGAGACTTTACTACTAAAAAAAACAACTCTAAATAATGAAAGTGTGGCTGGCAAAAATATAGTCCAATAGATACATGACATAGGGAGGCGTGTGGCGCAGTGGGCTAGTGTGTTGGTGTTGGGATCAGAGGGTCACAGGTTCAAACCCCACTGCAGTCAGCATGTCATCAAGATATATGAAATAAAAAAATAAAAATCTTTCAAAAGTTATGAAAAATTAAGATTAAAATTAAATAAATACATTCCTTAAAACGTGGGGCCTGCTGACCGCTGTTCTTTACGCTTGGTCTTAATGGTCACCCGAGTCTACAGGGAAAGCACTTTGGAGTGCATATTCCTGTCTCTCACTTCTTACTTTTCACCTTGTTTCCAACTGTTTCAGGAGAGTGCATTTACCTAGTCACGTTGTGCCTCTTCACTTTTACACTCCAGGGGTCAGAGTTCATATGGTGTGGGAATTCCATTGGCGGTATGCGCCGGCCTGTGCCTTTACCTTGGACTTCTGGTAGAACTGCTCGGGTCTTGATAGATTGAGTGGGGAAGTTCATGAGATCTTTCTAGGACACTTCACCCCAAATTGCTCCTGTGGGGATTGTCCACAGTATTGAGTATGTAAGTTGCTTTGGATAATGTAATGTAATACATAATGTGGGACAAAACAAGTCTGACACTGGTTGATTAAATACTGAGACAGATACTATTTAAAGCTAACAAAGAGTCATGGAAAAAAAATTGTTTTTAATGGATAACTTTTTATGTTACCAACCAGAAAATATAAGTGGAAGTGAATATGGAAAACTGTTGAATACCAAGAGATGTATTAAATGTTTGATCAGGTTGAACAGTGACAATTTTGAATGAAATTATCATCTAACTTTGCAAAAAATGTCCAAAGTGTATTTCCAAAAAATAGTCAAATGGAGGTAGCCTAAAAGTAAGGTGTTGAAAAAATAATAATTTGATATTGTAACTGAAAACCAGTGTCGAAGCCATTTAAAGGTTTTGGATTCATAGTGAGAATATCTAAGAGATTTAGGTTTTGAGTTGGTATGATATTATAACTGTTTAACTATTTATGTAATCATGATTTGACAATGCTGCTGATAGTCTTTTAATAGACAGAAAATGTTTGTTTGCAGGTTGAACCAGATTCCGTTTTCTGACTGAAATAATTGTATTCAGATCACATGATCAAATCACAATATATTTGAACTTTCATTCTCGGAAGTTGGAACTGTTTTTCTGACTTCATTTTTTGACTAAATAATTGTTCCTCAGTTACTAAACAGCATCTTCATGTTTGCTTTTTGGAAATGTGTGTCAGACAACCAGCATTTAACTTCAGGTGGCCTCAGAAAAGAAAAACACTAGAATTAGCTACTGCGGTCAGATATGACACTGAAATTACAGTGGTCGTTTAAAAAACCCAAGTAAGGCCTAAGCCCTGTCTGGGAAAGCAGACGTTGGTGTTTAATGGTTGAGTGCTTACTGAGTCCGAGACAGACCGCCTAAACACTGACACATTAATTATTCAGAGCTACTGACTAAACTCTGGGCCATTTAAAGGCGAAGGCAGGCCGAGTGACTAAACACTGAACCATCAAACTCTGAGGCAGACAGACGGACCCGGCAGCAGCATCTGTTCGCCATTTTCATTTTAGCAGAGGGGGGGGGGTGGAGTCGACCACTTGACCCTGGGAGTGCCATCTCTATCAGTGCACAGCTGAAATAGCCGCATGAAGCCGACCGCAAGCTGCTCGCAAGATTTCGGAAGTGGCGCCTCAATATCAGAGTCTACCTGATTGCAGATGGAGGAGAGCACTAACCTAGAATTTGTCTGCAGGAAGCTGGGATATAAGTGGTGTCATTTCATCAACCGCAGGCTGCTTCTGGTGTTCATTACTGTATTTAACACATTCAGACTTTCTCGATACTTCATCACATACTGCAAACAATTGTTCACCAAGACTGTGTTCCGTAAATATTGTTTTGGTGGATTATGCTAAGCAATGCAAGTTATCACTTTTGATGTAGCTGTCAAGATTTGAATAATAAAAGGGAGAAGTGTTCGGAAGAGATGAAAAAGAAAGTAGGGGTGGAAAGGAGAACACTCGGAGTCATGGAGAGGGGAAAGATAAAAGGAAGGAAAAACAAAGACGGAGTGGACTACGGAGAGATGAGTTATTCAGAAAGAGAAGTGAGGAAGATGAAGAGAGACAGACGCAGTGAAGTTTGAAGCTTGACATCAGCCTCGTTCTAGATTTGGGAACTGAGAAGCATTTCCATAACAGAATTCAACAGTCCCAGCTCTTGTTTTATTATTCTTAGACACTCACGGCCCGTCCACACACAGGCATGAAAAAAATCTTGAACATCTTGGAGCTGGGCGTGTCTGAAGCTTGGCGATTTATTGCGAGCAACGCGACCAACAACCAATCACATGAATCTCCCGCCCCCGACATACAAAGCAATAGCAATGTTAAAACGAAGTAAACTGGATATAAACTCTCCAAACAGGCGAAAACCTACCAGTTTCACCCACTGTCTCTGCCACCTCCCTCTTCAAGGCCATGTCGTGGTACACAGTAGCAGAAATGTGAAGGTCGCGTTGAGTTCTCGACACACACGAAAAGTGTCAAACAGGCACCACGTCTGCGACTTCCTGTTTCTACTTACAAGTCTCGGGGACGGGGAGAGTGGCTTAAGGACTCAGTCTTTACCATAGCTCCGCACCACTGCCATTACAAGAAAAACGTAGGTCTTGAGCCAGTTGAGTAGATCCGTTTTCGTGACTCCGGGACTGATGCTAACTGCAAGAATTACTAATGTGAATTACCGCTCTGGACGCGGGTTTTGCTTTGCATGTGCAATAGTTTAGATCTTCTAAGCCGCGATGTCAGGACAAGAGTAGAATGCGTGCTGACGGACCGTCGGAACGAGTGTAGCGAGCAAACTCTTCCTATGTCCGTTTACCAGTCTTATGAAACCGTTGAGCGGGACTATACGCAAATGTCCTGACAGAGGCGAGGTGCGCGTTTTCGGTGATACCGCGACGTTGTGCACGCGTATTAAAGGAACTTTCCACTGGTATAGACAATACGTAGAATTAAAACTGCTTACCTGTGGAGTCAAGATCGGCCTGGTGAATCGGATCAATAATTGCGTCCAATATAGCAACATATAGAAAAACACTATAAAAGTTGTTATGGTTCGTCGTAGTACGTAAATATCGGTAAGCGAGTAAAGCGGGGGTAAGACTATTAACTTGTGAAGAGAGCGTAGGCTAACCCGTACTAAGACGGGACCTTGTCGTGGTTCAGATGTACGGACCGCTAATACGTTTGATATGTCCCAGAGGCGCGGAAAGGTTGGCGTTTACAGCACGCGACGGATGGAGAGACTAACCACCCGTCTAACCGGGTTATCGGCATCGGAGGTGAAGCACTGCAGTCATCTTCACAAGTTAGACCGTAGCCAGACATAGCTAGGCAACGTCGGGGAAAATTCTCTAAACCATACCTCCTTGTAATTCTCCCACGACTAAAGACTGGTGAACCACCAAGGACTTGTGGCCCTGTGTACGAAGTTACATCTTTCTGCCAATGTGTTCACGTAAAACGTACTATCAGGGGAAATCAAAATAAGAAACTACATTCCTATACGCAGCTTTACTTGTGTCTTCGATTAATTCTATTCAGTCGTCAACAGCACTCAAACATCAGTCTAGACCAATGTCAGAGTTCCGTCTGGGAGGGTCGACTCGGGAATGCAACGTTGAAGGAGTCACGTAACAAGAGTCCCAAAAGACTTTACTCGAGAGAAGAGGTAGGAAGGACGGTCCGACGCTGGATTTAATGGAGGATAGGGGTCCTCGATTAGTATCACGCCAACTGAAATTTCGGGACGTTATGAATCACGGCTAAAAGTTCAGTGATTCTAAAGGCTGTCGAAAGGCACCGGACACGTAACAACGTCAAACTATAAGGTCGGTACTTGACGTAAACTGGAACACGATCATTGCCGGGCGTAGGTTGTGTGTCGTACTTTTGTATAAAAGTTTCGAAGCGGTAAGGTGAACTTACCCGCTCGCGATCTTCAAAACTAGGCGCCTCGTACGAACGTTGAGCACTCGTAGTTTCACTCGTTACAGTTTAAACAACTATCTGCGGGCGACGAAGCTTCGACGGTAGTCGTAGTTTAGGGCAAATACGTTTAGGGCGGACATGTTCGGTCGATCGTTTAGTTGGCGCAATTCGACCATCTCGGTCTGGCGGTCATAGTAAGGAGTATAAGTTTGTCGTGCATAATGCATCGTTTCGTGGACCAGAAATGCTGGCTTGATAAATGGCCTATGGTTTGGAATCCTNAAGTAAACTGGATATAAAATCCCCAAATAGGCGAAAACCTACCAGTTTCACCCACTGTCTCTGCCACCTCCCTCCATGCCTGGTTCCTCCGGTTTGTATCCCGGTAAATTATTAGTGACTGGTCATAAAGAACCGGGTGATTTGCTAGCGCAATAACTAATTTCTCCTCCATTTTCAGGAATATAGAAAATGAACTGCGGTCTGGTTCTCCCAGCTTGCACGCGGTTTGATTGGCTAGCGCTTGTACTGTCAGATTTGCATAAACAGGATTTGATTGGCTGATGCTTCCACCTCAGCTTCAAAAGTTGAACATTGCTCAACTTTTGAATCCTGAAAATCTTGGAAATCCTGGAAATCTTCGCTTTGCTTCCCCACATTGCAGTTTGGCGCAAAGCGAGGCAAAGTGACGTCACCCCATTCAAAGTCAATGGGCAGAGAAGCGTTGGAAGATTTTTTTAACGCTGCTGTGTAGACGGGCCGTGATTGAAGACCTGGCTGTGCTGTACGGTCCCTGAATTAATTCACCTGCAACCAGTAAATGACCTTTCTTTCTTCCCGCCGCAGTAGCCATGGAGGCTGATCTGCAAGACTTAATGGAAATGATTGCCCAGCTTAAGGCTGACAATGAGCACCTGCGACGGGAGCGTGCTGCATCTCGAGGTTCGACCAGCGCTGATGGGGGCCCATCCACTGCACCACAACCCTCCACCTCAAGGGGGGTTCACACCAGCGAGCGAGTTCTCTACCTTCCCAGAGAACGCAAATGTCCGGTGTTTAGAGGTAACTCTGGTATAGGGATAAGTGATTGGGTCGAGGAGGTGCGGTCGAGGAGGTGCGGTCCAGCATGCGGGCTTGTTACCTCTCTCCTCTAGATCAGGCTTACTTTATCTATGACCATCTGGAAAGTGAGGCTAGAGAGGAGATTAGGTACCAGCCACAAGGTGAACGTGAAAATCCAGAACAAATCTTAACTATTCTGCAAGAAATATTTGGTTGTTCTAAATCTTATGTTGCTCTACAAGAGAGTTTCTTTTCCAGAAAGCAGCTAGTTGGAGAATCCCTCCAGGAGTATTCCCATGCCCTCTTCTGCCTCATGGAGAAAATGGTTAAAAGCACCCCCGGAGGTATGACCAATTCAGCTGTACTGATAAGGGACCAATTTGTAGAGCATGTACTGGAACCTGCCTTACGTACTAGAGTTAAAACGCCTGGTTCACATGCACCCAGATTACACCTTACTCAATGTCAGGACAGAAGCATTTAGATGGGAACAAGAGGGCCAGTCACCTAGTGTGAGAGAGAGAAGTCACTCCGTGCCATCATTTTGTGCAGTCCAAGGTTCCCAGGACAAGGGTGGGATGGCTGTTGCAGCTAACGATAAGGCTCAAGATGATATGGCTCAGTTAAAAGACATGTTGAGAAAGCAGCAAGAACAAATTAACCAGCTCTCACAGAATATGTTGCAGCTACAAAATATCCCTAGACAGCAACAGTTCACTCCAAATGCCCTTGTAGTGTGCAGACGCTGCCAGCAGCCAGGGCATATTGCTAGAAATTGTCCCCATCAGCGTGTTCAAAACCCCAAGCCCTATGCCCCTAGGCTAGGTTCAGCCAATGCCCAGCAGCTGGCGGAAAACGAATGCCTTCTGGTTTGCACAGCCATGACTCTGAAGGGAATGCTCCTGGCTCAGAGGATGACATCGCTGTCTCAAAGTTGTTAGGGTCTTGCCCAACTGTAATTGTTGGCCTGAGCGGTGTGGAGATTAATTGTTTACTCGACACCGGCTCAATGGTAACCACTATTACTCAGAGTTTCTTTGCCCAGCATTTTCAGGGTCAGGGTAAGGGGGCGGAGACCAGTGTGCATTCCTGCTGGTACAGTGAAGATAGTTGCCACCAAATGTCCCCAGGGTGGGTTCGGTGCCACTGGTGCCGGTCTTTTTGAGCCACTTACTGCTAAAAGCCATCTCCCTGCTGGTGTGCTAGTGTCTCCAGCCATGGTCACAGTAGTGAGAGGGACACCCTATATTCCAGTGGTAAATGTAAGTGCTACTGATGCTACCCTTCACCCCCGTTGGTATGCTGAGCCCTGCTGAAATTGTGAGTTTACCAAAAGGAATCACTGAGGTGTCTGTTCCCCCCATGACGCAGGTCACGTCTACCATATCCTCTCAGGTTGACTCAGAGGCCCTCTTTGTAGACCCCATCTCAGCTGTAGACTTGTCTGTACTCCCTCCTGCAGATCAGGGTCAAAAGCCCGGTCATTATTGAGGCAGTAAATGAGACAGTGTGTTTGCCAAACATGATGCTGATTTGGGCTGCTCTGACCTACCCTAATTAACCCATGAGATACCCCTCCTAGACGAGGTACCTGTCTGTCAGAGATAGAGGAGAGTAACCCCCCTCAGAGTATGAAGCAGTAAAGGCACATATTCGACAGTTGTTAGAAAGCCAGTGATCCGAGAGAGCGTAGCAGCCCCTACGCCTCTCCAATCGTCATCGTTTGGAAGAAAGATGGGAGTATCCGCCTGTGTGTCGACTACCGCGCAGCTGGAATAGCAAGACGCGCCGGGATGCCTTCCCATTGCCGAGGATCGAGGAATCGCTTGATGTTACTCTCAGGAGCAAAGTGGTTCACGACCCTGGATTTGGCAAGTGATACCATTCAGGTGCCTGTGGCAGAAAAAGACAAACTGAAAACTGCTTTTTGCACACCATTGGCTTGTTGAATTCAATAGACATGCCATTTGGCCTTTGTAACGCACCTAGCACCCTTTCAGAGACTGATGGAGCGGGATTGTTCAGGGCCCAGCACTGTCAATCCCTACTGTTGTATTTGGATGATGTTGTCGTCTTCTCTTCCACACAGTGGATGAACAGCTGGATCATTTGGGAAGCTGTGTTGAACAAGCTGCAGCAAGAGGGCTTGAAAGTGAAGCTGAGCAAGTGTGCATCCTTTCCAAAAAGGAGGTACAAAGTACCTCGGCCATGTCATCTCTGCTGATGGTGGTGTCTACAGATCTCTGCTGTGGCAAACTGGAACTTCCCCACTACTGTGTCAGAGTTACGATCCCTTTCTGGGCTTTGCTAGTTACTACAGGCGCTTTGTGGAGGGATTTGCCAAGCTTGCTGCCCCCCTTCACCGATTAGTTGCAGAAGCTCAACGGACCCACAGGCGGAAGCAGCAGCAACCTCTGGAGGACAGTTGGACTGAAGAGAGTGGACAGGAGTTTCCCAGGAATCTCAGAGCAAAGTTGGTGGATGCACCTGTTCCTGGCTTAACGCAAACTTGGTTTCCCTTCCATCATTCGATATGAGCACTTATGTCCTAGGAGCAGTTCTCTCGCAGGAGCAGGACGGAAAAGTGAGAACCTGTAGCTTATGCCAGTCGTGGGATGAAACCCACAGAAGAGAACATGTCCAAACTACAGTTCCCATGAAAGCTTGAGTTCTTGGCATTAAAGTGGGCCATGGACCAGAGAAATTCCGGGTCTACCCTGCAGGAGCCAAAAGTCGCATTGTCTGGACTGGATAATAACCCCCCTTCAGCCACCTGAATACAAGCAAAAGTTAGGGCTACTGAAACAGCGCTGGGCCGCAGCGTTGGCAAGACTTTTGATTACACCCTTTTGGGTATAGATCAGGCAGGGCCAACGTTAATGCTGATTGTACTCCTCAAGAATGCACCCCTGTTGCCCACCCCCAGGAGGTCATAAGAGCTGCCCCTATCAGGGACATTCATTCCCACGGCCTTGCAGAAAACCTTGCAGCCTCAGAGGCCCATACTCTGGTAAATGCAAGCTGCCATTTCTGCCCTGTCCATCAACATTCAGGCACTGGAGTTTGGCTGCCTCTTCAGATGGCTGAACCCAAGTTATAATAGGAATGTTTTTTACAGTACTGGGGAAAACGCCACAAGACGCCCGAGACCAGGCCAGCACAGAGCAACCCTCTCTCCACAGGTCCTGGAGCTGTGTCGGACAATGAGAAAGAATCAACCAGGATGGAATGGAACTGCTGGTAATCGCCGCTACCCAGAGGCAGAGTGGAGAGAGGAACCTTCCTCCAACTTAACTCCTTTCCCAGGGATGCTCTGAAAAGAGTGAGGGTTTCTGCAAAAGCAAGCTGACACCAGGGGGGTTCCCACTGCACGGGAGGAGGAACAACCGATCGTGTTACGACCAAAGATGTTTACTGGCCCACATGCACAGAGACATTCAAAGAGTAGTTGCCAGCAGTGTGAGCCAAGATCACTTCAGACCACATACCAACGCACCCATGGGGCCACCTCCTGCCTCCATAACCCAATCAGATATTGGCAATTGAAACTTTACTCTCCTTGGAAACCCTCGCAAAGGAAGGGCAATAGAAAAGTCCTTGGTATATGACTGAAACGGTGTTTCGAGGTTCAACCCAGGCCTGTAAGCAACGCGAAGGACCCACGTGGCCTCAACGTAGCCCAACAATGTTCTGGTGAAACAGAAGTGGTACAGTTTGCAAGTTTGCCCGTCCCGCTCGTCTTCCAACTCTGAACCCCAGGGGTAGGTATTTTTGAGAAGTGCCCTTAATTCAAACAGCCTAATGTGAACCTCTACGACAATGTGTCCAGAAAAAACCCAGACCTACAACCATACCACCCCAGGGTAAAAAACGGCCCAGTTTTGGGGGTTGAAAAGCCGTGTTCAACCCGATTTTTCAATTACTGTTTTTTAACACTAAATTGGAAAAGGCAAGCAGAAATTTGGGTTCAGAAAAACTTGGTCATTACGCTTTGCCAACAACACACCATCCACCAATCAACTTATTGGGAAGAAGTTTTCCAGAACCTTCCCATGAAAAGAGTTGAAAAACTGGGTTTTCAGGAAAGCATCAAAAAAATTGATACAGGTTTTTGGGCCTACGACGGAAAAAAGGCACGTTTTGGAAGAATGGAGAAGCCGCAAACTCTCCGCAAAAGGGAACGCCAATGAAAAAAACTTCCTTGGGAGCTAAATGCCCAAAGGCGACGCGCCAGAAAAAAAACGCCAGCTGGTTCCCGAACGTGAAGGAGGAACCACAACAGAAAAAGGAGAAGAGTTCCCAAAATTTCCAAGCGAAAACTGGTTTAGCACAGTCCACCACTTGGTTTGTATCCAAAGGCCCCCAGTTTGCGGGGGCTCCACAAAATTCCGTGGAAACTTCCCGTGGAAAAAAGACCCCACAAAAAAAGGAACAACCCTCCAATCCGATGAGTTAAATGAAAAATCAAACCTTGTACTTCTAACTGCCCAAGGACCGCAAAGAGAGGAAACCCCAAGTAGGCCCCCACTGAAGAAGGAAAACGGGAACCACAAGGCTAGGGCAAGGGTACGCTTGAAAGAAAAGAAAAAGTTGGTGATGGGGTTTCTTGGAACCCGCCTTGGAAAAGAAAAAAAAGAAACCCGCTGCCAGAAAAAAACACAGCCCACTTCCAATAAAGTTCCTGTCCCTCTAAACCCATCCCGCAGTTGGCTCAGGAAGCCAAGGAACGCCGGAAAACAGCCGGGTCCAAACA